ACCATTTTCAAAACGCAGTTCTCAGGGTAGGGTCTTAGTTGCCATACAATTTTATAAATGGCAGTTAAGGCTTGTAACAATACAGCTGGGTCAGACGGGCTCATACCTACTCTTTGTGCACTTGGAGCCTACCCCCAACTAACATGGAATGACCCACCATCACCAGCCGCAATTCAAAAAGCAGAGAGCCTAAGACTAGCCATGAAAGAACTCCGCAAATGTAAGGCCAGTCAGTTGGTAGATCAAGCTGCTCACATGAGAAATGGCCTGAATAATGCGCATCTTGAAGAAGTTCCTATAGGTGGTTTTGTGAGAGTTTGGCATGAAGCCAAGAATAAGAGAGGAGAATGGACAGGTCCTTGGATGTTGATTGAGTTATAATTACAAGGTTAGATGGATAAGTATTGTGGGAGGATAGTTTTATATAAAGAAGTATGTGGAATGAATATTCCGGTGGTGGGCAAATGTATTTAGACTATCTGAGGATAATATGGATATCTAAAGATGAATGCATAATTGTTGTGGTTATGAGCTGTGAGGTAGATAGCAATTATGTCTCTGCTGTCCGTCGGTGGAAATACACGGGCTCATGTGCAATGGTGAGTCGCGGAGATGGCGCGCTCACGCTGGGTGATGGCACGATGGACACTGAGTGCGTATCACTGTGGCCAAATGGGTGTCAGTAGGTATGAAATGTGAACTCTTAATGACGATGGTGATCTATGAAGGTGATGCTAGATGTGCATCCCGACAATTGATAATATCATCTAATGGATGATGTGAAGTATGATATCATTTTGGATAGATTTATTCACTAAACTCAGCAGGTGAAGAGATTGTAGAGTACATGAACAGCGTCTGTGCACCAGCCTGTATTTTCCACCCTTTCCTAATCCAGCAACCCATCCTCCGTTCCCCTGTCTCCTAACAACTCAACCGAGCCAGCACAACAATAATCTACCTAAGAAGTAAATGGACCTTATAATATACATGTACGATCTATCCTACAGCCGTGTCCATTGATTGTCTGATGTACTCATGTAATGCATATCAATATTGTTTGATCCTTAAGCTCCTGATAATGAGCACAGCTCACATTTGAGTCATGCATTAATATGAGCTTGTATAACTAAAGTCATGTTATTTTATCACTGAGTCTTGTCTATGAAGCCCTTGCTTCTTTGTGCAGACTAGGATCACAACAGATTGACAAGAATCAGGAGATAGTTACTGTTTGCATAAATGAAGAAAAAGTCAATTTCCGTTCCACAGTGGTTTCTAAATGGTATGATGAAAACAGTTGCATCCAGAATAATCAGAATCCTAATATGCCGAGCATCAATAATTCTGAATCTCAACTCGTTGCGCGGGGAACACAATCCACTTTGCAGAAGTAACCGGAAAGGAAGATTCGAAGGCAGACATCAGTTTAACTCGAGTGTAAATGACAATCTCAAGATGTCCCACATATTCCTTTCACTTCAGGAAGAAGAGATCCGTTTATTAGCCTGTTTTCGCGCTAAAGGATTAATTACCTCCCCTGGTGAACTATTTGAAGAATTGACAAAGAAAGAAATAAAAGGTCTTCTTGATCAAGGCCTCTTTGAATTTCAACCTTTGAATAAAAGTTTGGTGGGAAGTTGGATATTTAAGTCAAGAATTGTTAAGGTTGTTAAAGGAAAAGACACTCTGGTACCATACGAAAAGTCAAGAATGGTTGTGCAAGCCTTTAACAACCCAGACAAGGAGATGGTATTGACGCATTCACCAACAGTACAGCAAGCAAGTGTCAGGTTACTACTTTCAATTACTCCTTTTATGATTAAGCACAACAGATTTAAGTTGATACTGCGAGACATTCAACAGGCATAAATACAATCTAAGACAACACTGTTAAGGGAACTCTTCTGCTGGCCATCTCCGGAAATCATCAAGACAATGAATCTGCAAGAGAAAACTATGATGAACATCCTGAAACCTCGGTATGGAATTCCAGAAAGTGGTAATCACTGGTTTGGGACCTGGACTAAGCATCTAAGAGAGATGCTAAGCTCAAAGAATCCAATTGTTTTGCAAAATATGGAAAAATGCGATCACTTGGTGCATGGATTGCCTCAATTTGCCAGCCACTTGTTTCTTTCTTACTGTCAAGAGCCGCACAGCATCAGAATTTAGAATTGAAGAGACAAAGGGACTGCGTGTTGCCCTCCAAATCCAACAAGAAAACCTAGATTCAGGGTTGAGATATGTTGACCTAAAAATAACAAAGTGCCTCGGGCTCTACGCTTGGGTAGATGGCTCCCTTGCCAATAACAAGGATTCGACATCACAGATTGGATTTATGAAAGCAATTGGCAACAAAATTCGCGATAAATTTGCATTTAAATTACGTGGCAACATCATTCACTGGAGCTCAACAAAATGTAAGCGGGTAACCCCTGCAGTGCTGGCCTCAGAGCTTTATTCTATGACTCAGGGCGTCGACATAACAATACCGCTCTGCAATGCTCTTAACCAAATCACTACTGAGCTCGGTCTACCAATTGTGCCCATCATTATTTGCACTGATAGTTTCAGCTTATATGAATGCTTAGTTAAACTCGGCACCATCAAGGAGAAAAGGCTCATGATTGACATCATGGCCATCCGCGAGTCATTTGAGTGTAGGGAACTAGCAGAAATCCACTGGATCAACAGAAAAGATAATCCCGCAGATGCCATGACAAAGGCTAATCTAGCCAGTGCATTACAAAGACTTGTCAAAACAAATGAGCTGGAATGTAGGTTACAACTATGGGTAGAGAGAAGCATGTTGTAAAGGTAAGAGCTTACAGAGGTTAATTGGCAGAAGGTTTACAAATGATTATCGATGAATCAATGTGAACTGCTGATATATTTGATATTCAGAACTATAAGGATTTAGGAAGTAGAAAGCGCTAATTATATACACATCTGAGGTAGCTAGACTCTCGCCTCATTTACCCAAAATAGTACCACGGAATATTCTAGTCTCCTCCATCTGGCAGTACAATCTAGAAACACTTTCTATACAGTGCTTCATTGTTCCTCTACTCATCATGGAGCCAGCTGGAAAGTTCTTCCTTCACCCTTAGTGATCATTACCTTCGTGCATCGTAATCCTAGCCATCACCAGCACAACAAAGCATGGATATTCCGGCGTACAAGTACAAAGTATAAGAGTCTATTGTTGTAACGGCTGTCAAGCCTAAAGGTTCCTGTAGCCTACGCTGTCTAGCGCTGGCAATTATATAAAGGGAGGTTCCTGGAAACATCTTGGATGACAGGGAGCTGGGATGATTCACATTGAGCCTTGTTGAAATATACTGAGACTTTGTGAGAGTTACAGGAGTATCAATGATCCCCTAGGTGATTATCGGAGAGTCTAAGCTGTCAAGTAACAGATAGAACCTTATCAAGGAGGGATATTTCAGACTGTATATATAGGTAGTCATTAAGTATAGGAATTCTCTCTTCAGAGAATTATAATTAAAATATTGCACCTACAACATCGCTCATGCATTTTGTAATGAAACTGTGACAACTGTTTATTTTTCAGGTTGACCACCAAAAGTAGTACTACACAAAAGAAGAGTTATCAGTGTTGGAATAAATGACAACTATTGTTAGAATTTAGAATAATTGGGGCTATCAAGTAGGCCACGTTGTCAATACACACGTGACTACAAATTCTAAACTTAGTTTCACTTTGGTAGTTAGTTGAATCAATGCGCTCTACAACCTCAATGACTGAGGGGTCATTATTTCCTTAATAGATTATGAGCACGGATTGTCGCTCGCGCAATCACGTTGTATTGCCCGGAGTTTGATACTATCTTTGTTATGGGCAAGTAGAAGGGCATATGCTCTACTTGCGCCAAATTAATCCAACTAGGAGGCTGTCACCTTCTTGAATCCAGGACAAGGCCATCACTTTTGAGTTGCAATCTCTAAAGAAAAGTGAATGGCCGTCGCCTGAGAAGACATGAGGCTATCGCCTTAGTTAGGGAAAGCATAGGTCGAGTACTGAAGATAAGGGGCCGCTGCAAAGCCCTCGTGAGGATTGATGGTTCCTAAACGCACTGGTAGCCAGCCCGTCGATGGACTCTGAAAGAAAGAGCCCATGTGTGACAGAAACCGAGTTGGTAATGAATAAATCAATTTATTAAACTATATGAAGAGGAAAGAAATCTCTAGCTACTACTAACAGGTACTTATAACGTTTGGTCCGCTTCGTGAATCTGCTGACTGATAACTTCCCCCTAGGCCTAATACTTGCTACTGAGCCAAGTATTATCAGGAGCCATTACGCTGTGATGTTGCTTCGACCTCCTGGCTAGTAGTGCTATTTCATCTCTATTTACCCATCCTTCCTCTTTCAGTCTTATTGTAATTATTCCTAATTAAATGCATAGGTTTCCTCCTGAGCTAAAACAACAGTCAAACCATAACACCATGGGTCAAATGATTCAACCCGGAAATTTCAAATAGAAAAAAGAACACCAGCCTGGCAGCTACAGTACGAAAGCTGCTCCCAACATTACAATCTGAGAACTACTTTACGACAGCTGTCACAATTAGAATTATTTGACTCTTTTCCGAAACTTGTTGAATCCTCAACCTAACAGCTCCTATTTGAAAGCTGTCACAAAAATTTTCGCTACTGATTTCCGACAGCAATTCGAACCTCAACCTAGCAGCTACGCTTCGAAAGCTGCTATTTATACTCTCAAGACTTCCCTTCTTATAGTCTTTGCCTTCATCTAAGCAAAGGGATTTTTGTCAAATTATTCAACAACAAAAGTCTCTACAATAGCCTAAGGCTTCAACATTAACACCCTCTCAACGGCTATCTTCGTTTAAGTTTATATTGTTGTGGGGGAGATAATTCAATGAGAAGAATAATAATAATGAGTGTCAAAAATACCGAAGAAAGATAGCAATAAATCCAAGTGGAGCTTGGTGATGGTATGAGAGAGCTATCACACGGAACGCTCTGGAAAAAAAGTCTTCTGAAGAGACACACTTGTAGGGCATATTGCTGGTAGAGGGAAACCAGTCAATGGAACACTAGCAATTTGGATGGAATTAACGCCGCAACAACTACAGCACGGAAACTGGGGGAGTGTATTTGAGAGCTGAGAAAGGCTGACACTTAGACGCCAAATCCTGGGGGAGCCTTCAAAGTTAACAACATCAAATTCAAAGGTTACTCTGGAAAAGGTTAGGACTCTACGGTGTATTTGGGGGAAAATGAGAGGAGATGAATTGTTGCAATTTCATTGTAAGAGGAGCAGAAAGTATAGCTCAAAGAATATTGTTTGCATTAAAGTTCTAAGTTACATGTAAAACGCGAATTTATGTGCGCATATCCTAGAGTTAAAGTGGGTATGCAAACAACAATTACTACAGTGAAAAGTCTTCAGCACAGCTGACCACAAAACCATTGTGCGGGGAATAAAACAGTACTGACCCCGCACCATCAATGCCATCCTATTTGTCGCAAAGTAAACGTGACCATATCTCTCACTGCATTTACATATAGTATCATATTACCCCGCACATGCAAATGTATGAGAGAATATCTCAACAGCAAAAAGAAACTAAAATGTAGAATACAGGATGTATTGTGCAGCATGCAGGAAAGTTGTTCATATTTGCAAGGAATGCCAATTATTGTAAGAAATGTGGCAAATTCCAACATGAATCAATTCCAAAGGATACATTACTTGGATTGATTCATCGAAAATATGAAGACCAGTTTGAGAGCAGACAACTAACCATTCAAGCAAACGTTTAATGAAGCAAAGATACAGGAAGACAAGGAATACGCCCAATTAGTCTATGGGGGAGTGTTAGAATTTAGAATAATTGGGGCTATCAAGTAGGCCACGTTGTCAATACAGAAGTGACTACAAATTCTGTACTAAGTTTCATGTTGGTAGTTACTTGAATCAATGCACTGTACAACATCAATGACTGAGGGGTCATTATATCCTTAATAACTTTGAGGGATTTTATCATGTGTAAACCTAATTTCTAAGGCCAACTTATAGACTGGTTCAGGTAGCATTTTCCTTACGCGTTTGTTAGATAGAATATATAGACATTTTTTACAAAAACAATCTGTTACCAGAACATTTGTGCTAGCACATTAAATCTCCAAGCCAGTGTTATACCGGCTATGGGTAATATACATAGCTAAAAGGTCTAATGATAACTAAAGATACAAGAGGTAACTGGAGGTGACTAGAGGTAATCCGAGGTAATCCGAGGATGGTAGTTGTGACAGAAAACTAAGCGTAGAGAACATTGTTACAGCAGTCCAAGCTATCATACATATACCTGCCCTCCTTCCACTATCTTATCATAACATAGTCCATAAACTAGTATCAACATAATACCAAGTACCAAGAGCTGTACTGTAGTCATAGCAACACCAGGAGAAGAGTAAAATTATAAACAAAAGTTAAGATGTGAAGGAGAATCCTTACAAATTATTTGTAAGTCCGGCTAATTTGACTATTGAATTCCCCATTCTACATCACTGTTATCAATACATCCTTTACCGAAAGTTTAATGCGCATTAGCGTTTATTTCACACTAGAATTCCAGCAGATGACTATGTCTTAAATGAAGATTATAGTTTACTTGTATCTATTACTGGTACACATGTATTTAGCTTTATATTCCTGGACCATATATGTGTATGTACATAGATCTACATCTACATGGATCATAACTTACGATCCATGGAGATTGATAAATACTGGACAGAACCACAGTTAATAAGACAGACAAACACGCAATCTCACTCTTATCATCTCGGCTTTACTCAGAACCATACGTCTCAATACAATTGTTTTCACTCAAATTTTCTTTTCACATCCTCATACAAGACTTACTGTATTAGTCTAACCGCCAACACTAATTCTGCTATAGCCTCCATCTTCACTCAAGCTCATAACTATAACAGGTGTAACAGAGGCAAGGAGTTGCGCAATTTATTTGCTTGTCCTTCTATTAGTTGCTGAGCCAATGACATAGCTGCTGACGCTTGTTCCTGTGCTTCAAAAATTCTAGCCAATAAATTTTCTGCACATCTAGCTGGGTTAGTGAGAGCTCCATTAACAGAAATAAATTTTTGTTGTATTGTGATAACAAGGTTATGAGAAGTCTAAGAATTGTTGTAATGGGTGTAACAGTCAACTTAGGTGGATGTAGGATAGCGCTTTAAGTCTAATGTGAAGAAGACAGATATATATTGTAGATCTTGTTGAAATTGGTGCTTCCAATTATGGTAAAGACAGGGATGTGTAGAATACCCATCACTAATCTCCCATTAATTGTGAGGTTAGTATTAATGCGCTTTGACGTAAATACCAACCACTAGATTTTATTATTACAAAATATAGTTTCTATAGCACTCTGTGTCCTAGTGGGAGTAATTAACAATTCTCCACAACAGATTTACAGACTCCTTTACTTTCCCACTCGCTTCACCAAGTGATACAATCTGTGCCTAACAGCCACAAGCTTTTGCAAACCAATCTGCTCAACAGATCTGCTATATTGATGACTATTGAATATAAGAGTGGAAAAGGTTGATCATATACAGAGGTCTAGCAGCGAGTATTTATGCACAAAGACAATACATAAAATATACCATCAATAGCAATAACTCCCAACCATTCAGCCATTCAACAACTATGTCATTAGATATACCTGTGTCATATTATCATATAATCATGTATGGTTGAGATACTGGTGTTTTCATTGCTGTGTGCCAATGACGTATCATTGACGCAGGGTCGCTTGTCCTGTTGGTTCACTTGCCCAATACTAGCCATTCCAAGTTGTGTAATCTATAAGTGGGCCTGATCACAACAGTATATGATTTTGGAATGTACACTTGCGCTGGAACAGCTAAGATAGTTTGTGGAGAGATATCTTCATTAATGTGCAGAAGTGAAGTTACTACAATAATTGTTATTATTGGAATATTATTGTGTAATTAATAATACTAGAATGATATGAATAATGATCCTGATAAAATTCGATTTATTGCTTGCTTATAGTTACTTGTATCTGAACATGAAGATATTGCTATATCATATACAAGTCTCTTGTGCTAGCCTTTATCCCACATGATTACGCCAGTATTACTTGATCTTAAACTCAGACTCATTGACTCAGTTACATCCCCCATTGTCTTCGTATCACTAGACCCTAGGTTCAAGACCATGACACAATGCTAAGTATAAATGATACTCCTTGGCTGCAACTTCCCAACCCGGATGCTTCAGCCAAGCATATATGACTCTGCCTCAAACTTGTTGTCAGAGCAACATGTAGACAGCAGGCAGGAGACATGGGTCAAAGAGGTGGCATTCAGGCTAAAGGGTGCCATCCTACTTTATGCATGAGATAGGTGCATAACCGCTCGGCCAAAAGGCCAGACCAGAATCATAGAACACTAGATTCTGGTTATCTCCACATATATAGATTATACAGAAGGCAATCCTGACACTCATCATGCGTGGAGGTTTGGCGCTCCTACCAAGATATCTGTCAGACATTTAAAAGTCATGCTCATATTATTCACAACAGTTATTTTAAAGTTTGGGGGAAGCTCGTCCCTTGTCCCTAGTTTGTTTGCTTGTAAACCAATCACATTACCAGTATGCATCTCACCAATGAGTGTGTCAAGGTGTTGAGAGTTCAATGAGTCGAGAGTTCAATAAATCAATATTCAAAGATGTCAAAAGGTGAAAATTTCAAAAGGTCAAGATGTACACAAATTCAATAGTGTCAAAAGTTTCCTAAGAATACAAGACCATAATCTGTCAAACTAAAGTCATCCCAATTGCCCATTCTATATTCCTCTCTATTGTTCTCGAAACTTTCAGTATACTCTCATACAAAATAGAATTGTCTAGACAAGTACAGAACAGAACAGATGGAATGAAATGGAATGAAATGGAATGAAATGGAATGAAATGGAATGAAATGGAATGAAATGGAATGAAATGGAATGAAATGGAATGAAATGGAATGAAATGGAATGAAATGGAATGAAATGGAATGAAATGGAATGAAATGGAATGAAATGGAATGAAATGGAATGAAATGGAATGAAATGGAATGAAATGGAATGAAATGGAATGACTTGTCATCACCATTATAAAGATGGATGCTAGATTGGAGAATCAAACAGCTGTCATGAAAAGTCAAGGTGAGATAATTAACTCACCAAAGAAATAATTAGAAAAAAAATCAGAATCAAAGAATTTGTCAGGAAGCATAGAGAGACTTCCTACCCTCGAAAAATTCCGAGGAAATAGAAACACATGGGATGAGTGGTATCTTAGTGCTAACCATAAATTAAGTAAAGATGGCCCAGTCATTGGAGATGAATTCGACCAATTTGCATACATATACTCGAGACTTGAGGGCAAAGCTGCAAGAATGGTATCAACAACCGCAAGACTACTGTCAATAGACCGTAAAGGCAATGGCTTTGAATTCTTAACATATCTAGATACAATTTTTGGAGACCCAAACAAAGAAGCCCGGGCACAACAGGAATTGTACAGTTTAAAGCAAAAAGATTGTGAGTCATTTGCCACGTTTTTACCAAAATTCGAAACAACTTTGGCGACTGCTGGATGGTCGGTTTATGGGGATATCCAGAAGATCTCATTATCAAAGAACGCTCTCTCTAAGGAAATGAGAACCGCGCTAATCGGCAAAAAACTTCCTACCACCTGGAGTGAGTGTACTTCAGAATTGTTAACTATTAGTAGCGAAATTATAGCTATTGATCAGTAATTTAAACCGCATTTTGCTGGCACACTGTCAACGTCTAAAACGGTGGAAAATTTAACTGCCATGGATTGGGAACCAATAAAATCTGCATCAACAGAAACTAGAGGTGCTTTCACGAAAAGAGCAACTTGGGTTAGCAAGGAAACGCTTACTTTCAGATAAAAGAAGGGTCTCTATATAAGATGTGGTCATAAAGGTCACATAGCACCTAACTGCAAATTACTACCACCTCTAAACAAAAACTTGAGCACAAATACATCCCAACTGATATATGATGAGGAAGAATATTTAATGTTAGCAAAGCCAGAAGAAATTGATGATTCACAGGGAAAAGACGAGCTCCTGTAAAAAG